AGTGAAATGACCGTGGAAATGTGCGGTGCCTCACGCCAACTTCATGGCTGACGTACGCACGTTTCTACAGCTGTTGATCCTTTGGCGACACTTAGAGGTGATGCTGGGAAACTGTTATAATAAATAAATGTGAAAACAATTAGTCCTCAAGAGTGATGTGCACATCAGAGACACATGAACAATTAACACTGATGAACAATTAACACACCCACGTGTTTGCTATTAGATTAGTGGATATAAAAGCATGCGCAAAGTGGTGCCAAAAATACCGTTAACAACGTTTTAGCAGTATTTGCCGCATTGGTTCCCGAGGGCAATCCTCCTGGAACTGTGCGCAGAGCTGCGGCCGACCTTAGACCGTGATACAGCGAGGAGCCATGCGCTGCCTGTATCCATACAGGTGCTGACCACACCGGGACTCCTAGCAACACAGGCATTCCGGAGGGAGCTGGCCGACCGATCGGGACTGTGCCAGTCGACCCTGAGCCGAGTCATGCCAGCTGTGTGGGACGGAATTATCCGCATGTCAGCCAGGTATATCAAATTCCCATATGCAGCTGAACAGGCCAACATTAAAGCGCAATTTGCAGCGAGAGCCGCTTTTCCTAATGTTACCGGAGCTATCGACTGCACACACATTATAAAAGCGCCATCGCAGGATGAATTTGTTTTTGTCAACAGGAAGCATTTTCATTCGATCAATGTACAGATCATATGTGATGCGCAAATGCAATTAACCAACATTGTGGCGAGGTGGCCTGGTTCATACATACACTCAGATTCATACATTCTGAGTAACAGCATGGTTGGGAACAGACTACAAGCTGGCACTGTGCGCGATGGGTGGCTTCTTGGTGAGTAAATAATTTATTCCTTTAATTGTCCTAATATCAATCCCCATGATGCACACTGAATATGTGCGCCCCCAAATATTATCCTGCCTTCACAGCATCAGTACTAGTCAGTGGTTAAAGTTAGTGACTTGTTGTTTTTTAAACTACAGCTTCAGAGCTTTGGAACAAGCCCCTGATTGTCTCTGTGTGTAAAGTACTCATGTCAATAAACCCGTGCGTAAAGTGCGACATTTCCTTATCAGCCTCACCTTTTCCCCGGCGCACTTCTGCATTCATTTACAACAATAGACAATAGTGTGTGATCCGTCTAAGTGGTGTATAAAATTAACAAATATAAACTGTAAATCCAGTTCACATAATTAATTGTCTGCTTTCAACTGACCCCAGGCGACTCTCTGTTCAGACGGGTGAGCTCCTCCTCTCCTGTCCCCCCGCCTGTTTTGGCCACACTTTGGCGGTGGGCAGCCGTCCTCTGCTTCACGTCCACCTTAATGTCGGACCACTTCATTTTTAATTGTGCGTGTGTACGCTTTTCTGACCCCACTGCATTGACAGCCTCACACACACTCTCCCACTCACTCCTCTTGCGTTTTGTATTGATGCCGGAGGACTGTGTGCCAAAAAGTACATCTTTGCGCGCCTCCACTTAAATGAGTAGCGTTTCCAATTCGCATTCTGTGAAGATTTTCTTTTTTCCCCGTCTTATTCATTCTTTTGTTTTAGTTTTCTGATCGCGCAGAGAGGGGAATCTCAGGTGCAGGGTTCATTTAAATATGATTTGCATATTTAAATGGGGGCGTGGACAGGGAGGGGTCGGGTACTCCAACATGGGTGCTCAATTCCACGTTGATTGGGATGTACAAAGGAAATGTGCTTGGATTCATGTGTATGCACAGATTCATACATCTGGATATTTTTGTACGTACGACGTTTTCTGGATTCAAGCGTACACCATGTTTCAGTAGGAAATCCACGCAGGTCTTTGTACATGAGGCCCCTGGTCTAGCATCAGCCCAAGTTGGGCATGCCAGAAGAGATAAGTTGGGCTGCATCTAGTTGCCCTACTTGGCTTGTAAGACTTGTGATGAATGACACCCCAGATTTGGGCCAAATACACTTGCTAGATTCCAGCTGCTGACACTGCCACCACTGGGCTGCAATCATGCCAATTGCCAAAACCTTCCCGGGTATGGCCCAATATGGTTAAATTCCAGCTGTCAGTTAAAAACTGACATTCGTATTTCGACCACAATCATGCCAGTGAATTGCCCAAGTATGCAACTTCATTATCAGGTAGCAGCGTCAGTGGTGGCTCAGCATGTAGTGAGAAGAGCCTTTAAATGCAGCTGCAAACACAAAACTGTTTTAGGAACTACTGAACAGTAACTTACATTGACGTGGTAGATTATTACTGTAGGCTACCTGGTCACTTTCCACCACTGGTCCCTATCTGAAGGCTGGATGTGCAGTACGTACAGCAGACTGACAGCAGAGCAGAGGTTAAAGGTGAAGTCACACTTTATTAGGAGTATAGGCTCAAATACATTGTCCTTTATAGAAGTCAACATAGCATACTTCATATACCGATACATGTGTCATATATGACCTTATACATATACAGAGATAAAGTGACAGTTGAATTATATTCTGGGCATAAAGCACATCTCATGTTTATATTCACATTCTTTTCTTTGACACTTTATTTATATCACACCAAGAGAGAAAGCCCGACACACAGCCGCCGGCTAAATAAGAGACTCGTCAACTAAATTACTTTTCTCATTACTTTGATTATTTAACAACATATTTATACAAAAATCAGGGAAAAACAAACATGTAAAAACATCTACAAAGATTAGAAACTTAGATTCTAATATTTTCTAACAGGTGTCGACTCAACCTGCCCGAGACCCAATTTGGGCCTCGACACACAGCTTAACAACAACAGACATTAAGGTCAATAATAATAATATTAATAATAATAATAATAATAATAATTTCAGGCTCTGTCTATTTTAATAAGTGATGAGCTTCTTTAAAGGAATCTGGTGAGTTTTTAGTAGATTGAGTGTTGGTCAGTAAAACAAACACACAAATTCTGCTAACATGTTAGCATCCAGCTAACATTGAGTAAAATCCCAAATTTTTTTTATACATCAGCTGCACACAAGATAAAAATATATCTTTTGGGACTTTGGCGCTTTGTACCATGCAAATATGTTAGCTAACGTATAACCTGGAGTTTGATATTATGGTGTATGCTCACGTTAAAGCAAAAGCTACCTAACAGTAATCAAGCTAATGTAAACCTAAATGTTTATTACTTTAAGTTCATATTACTCCACATAGTTTATGCTAAGTGTTAGCATTGAGCTGACTATCACCTTACATTTAAATTATTTCTAAGTGGAAAAAAAAAATCACTGAAGAAGGTGTATGCTAAAGTGCTAGCGTGGAGCCGACTGTAACTCAGCAGGCATAGCGAGATAATACCACGTATGGACATGAACTATGACACCAGTTTACTGTCGGCACACAGTCATTGTGCCGACAGTAAACTCGTGGTCATTAATTGTGGACTGTAATGAATGTGCAGAATTCAATATTGATGGAAAGTGTAATTTGAGCTTTAACCCACATGATGTAAGCTATAATGCTAATGCTAACACTACCTGCTGAATCAACAAATTTAGCTTAGTCTGGTTTCAAAAAGAACCACCGTTAGCAGTTAGCCACCAAGATTACTACTACTACTGCCACTGAGACTAACCACAGACAGTCAGTGCAACTAACGACTTCCTCTGTGACACCGCAAGTTTTACCCTTAATCATTTCTACAGTAGTGCCATTAGGAAGAAGGTGGATAATTTGAGCTTTACTCAACATGGTGGAAGCTACCTTGCTAATGAAGCTAGCTAGCTTGGTCGCTAATGGCACAATTTTTAACAGTTTAGAGTTGTATTGGTAGCATTGACTCCTCACTGTGTGTAAATAGAGATGATGTATTATATTAAAACCAGTTCATTTGAAGCGTTCATAGACTACGCACACGTTCACACCTGCACTTGGTGAATACTGAAAGCTACGAAGACACAGAAACTATCATCTGAGCTTTAGCATCATGTATGCTAACCTGTTAGCACGTGAACAACAGTACTATGGATGTGTCTGTTAACGGACCAACAGGACGATTTACCACACACTCAGCAGATTCCTCTGAAGCAGCCTCAGTGCTCAGACTGTAGCGCCTCCTAGTTTTCAACACACATGTTACAACCCTTGCATGCAAACCAAAGCACGACATCATCGTCTCACAGATACGTGATTTATACTGGAGTCACAGACTGACGCTGTGTCCCATCATGCAACAGTTTTATGATTCAGTATCAGAGTTTCAGTGTCTCCTCGTCCGGATGAAGAGACGCTTAAAGTCTGTGTTTGTGTGAGTGTGTCTGTTGTCTAATAAATGAGTGTGTGCATGCATATAATGTACAAACATCTGAGGGACTGGATGTTGTCACCTCAGCTAACAGACATTCAGCTGTTACAGTGTGGCGTCTTGTAAATTATTACCCAGGTAGCCTGAATCATAGTCCAACAGGGCCCTGACATGGAGCCAGAGATGGGAAATGAAACTGTTTAAATCAATGTGCTAAAAAGGTTCATTCAGTCCAAGTGTTGGGGAATATCTGCTGGACGGAGTTCGTTAGCTCATATTATTCAAGGACAGAACAGGAGCAGAATATAAGTGAGCTTACTGTCGTCATCATCAGTGTTTTATTCAAGAAAACCATTCGAACACTTTAAGGATCAGATTTTAAATATTTGTGGCAGACTGAAGATTAAGTCATGTTTCCCAAATCAATAAGAAAAGTCTCAATATATTTTTGCTGCGATGCTGTTGTAGAGCAGTGTGTTAATATTTTAAACGCCTGGTCCTGGACTCATGACTTCCTAAAATCACCCCACGTAATCTGGTCTGAGTTCAGGTTGTGACTCTGGCGAGTCCGGTCTCACCCCGAAATTGTTGAAATCTGGCGCTTGGGCAGAGACTTGCAGTGTCAGAAACCAACAAATAAAGGCATCCTTTTACGTCAGCATGATACATGGACGGTTGGACAACCAACACACCCAGGGTACCTTGGACGTCATATGTGGACATGGAAAGTCCATGACCAAACGCGGACGTGTGACGAGGTCGCAGTGAGGATGATGATGCTCTGACCCAAATGTGGCCTGAGTGCTGCTCACTGGATCTGGTTCTCAGCCCAAATCTGGGTCACATGAGGGTCAGAGTCAGATCACAGCTGCTGCAGGAATCGAGCGACCAGAACTCAGCCAAATGTGCCGACGCTGAGCCGCAGTTGGCCTGATTCCTGTGGCTACCTGGGTAACATGTTCCTCCAACCTGTCAGGTTCCTGTCTGAGTTAGTTTGGATATTTAAGCTGTCTGTCTGTCTGTATTTGGTGTGTCTGTCTGCCTACCTCTCATCACAGCACCATGGTGGGTATATGGTGAACCAGTGATGCCGGGTGAGGCATGGCGGTCAGCTGCGGTGGGTGAGGAGGAGGTGAGTGAGCAGCGTGCACCACCACACCTCCCCCTGCGGCGACGGCATCTCCGGTGGGCCGGTGCCTGGCGCTCTTCTGGTGCGCCCGCAGGCCCGCCAGCTGCGAGTACGCTGACTGGCAGACTTGGCACTTGTAGGGGCGCTCGCCGGTGTGCAGCCGGACGTGGTTCCTCAGCGTGGACGACTGGCTGAAGCGGCGGTTGCAGAAGCGGCAGACGAAGGGTTTGTCCAGCGTGTGGATGCGCATGTGGGAGCGCAGGTTGCTGCGGGAGTTGAAGCCGCGGTGGCAGATGACGCATCGCATGCGGCCCAGGGTGGAGGAAGAGGAGGAGGAGGAGGAGGAGGAGGAAGAGGAGCCTTCACAGGTGTGAAATTCATCTAGAAGGAGGAGGAGGAGGAGATAGTTGTTAAAATCTGGTGATAGTTTATATTTAATGTAAATATTCAGGACGTTCTCGCTCCCAGCTCGTCACATAAGGAGCTTCATCACCGCTTCAAACTACGACACTCTGTGTGACTGTAGTGACCACGATGGGAGCAGAGGAGGAGGTCAGGTGATGCAGTGTATGGTGTGGATGTATAAAGAGACCTGGATACAGCGTTGGAGGCGGGACCCTGTTCATTTCTACCAAAGTTGCTCAAAAAGCTGTGTGTCTGTGGTACGAGATCGATGCTGCTTCCGCATCATTGCGTCCATACACACATTAACTGTCAGTAAAGAGTATGACATGCTTTGGTGGGTGGGGCTTAGCTGGAGACATTAGCTAGTGCTACCTAACAAGTTCTGTTGGTTTGTTTTAGACGATTGAGGAAGATGTTTTATTACTATAACTGAAACTTGAAACATTTTGTTGATGAAAGTTTGTAAAAAGTCTCTTCTCAGAAAATAACTCAAATAAAAGATTCAACGTCCAGGTGTTTGTGTTTGTGTCAGTATCATAGATTAGTAAATGTACTCATCATGGTATTCCTTGGAACCAGTATATCACTGCACCCCTAGTCACGAGTCACTGGTGTTAAAGTCCAAGTCGAGTTGCAGGTGTTGACTCGGGTCTAAAGTCATCAGGTCATGTGACTGGAGTCCACACCTCTGGTTGAGGTGCAGAGCCACTGTTGTGTTTAAAATCAGAGTCAAACATCTGCTGTAGGTTTAGACTTGTGGATGAATCCACAGATCAGTTATCAGTAATCTTTACTGGTGAGTAATCAATCAATAATCAATAATCCGTACCGGTCTTGGTCTTCTTGCTCTGTTCTTCGTCTCCTCCAGGAATCCCAGGGATTCCCAGGAAGGTGTTGTGGGAGTTTCCATACCAGACCAGCAGCTCCTGATCCGGAGGGATCGTCTGAGGAGGGAAACATGGAGGGTTAAGCATCAGCGGGGAGGACGTTAAAGTGTCAGATATAGAATATAAATAAGATCAATGTGTTCATTTATCACTTTGAAAACAGACGTTACAAAGTCACAAGACAATAAACAGTTCAGTGAAGCAGTAGAAACACTGAGGGCTCTGTAAACTGAAGAGGTTAAAAAAAAGTCACAACAACAAATAAATAAACACAAGTGTGTATAAATATGTACAAACATCAACATAAACAGGCACGTACATGAACACACACACACACACACACACACACACACATGCTCTGTGCACAAGCTTTAGCACACGTCTGCACTGAAATAGATGTGCACATATACAGACACTGAAATTGGGACTTGTTTTAAAATGTTTTTTAAAATGTTTTTTAAAATGTAACTTTATTGTTCACCAGGGTGGAAATGTGTCTGTGAACTTCCCACAGACGTACGTCAAGCTGCTTTCAAACACAGGCGACGTTTAATGATCCTCAACATGTGTAACGTTGGACACTCCGTTGTGTCAGTGTCACTGAGTCATGTTACATTCAGCTCTGTTGTTGTTGTTGCTTCAGTTTGTCATCGTCTGCTTTCAGCATATTTTCTGAGCAGTCAGAACCTGTGAGACTTTTCTGGAGAAGATTTATTATTGTTTTGGATTATTGCAATGATCATTTGTATGAAGTGAGATTATGTGTCTGCTCCCATGTTGATAAGAGTCTGAAAATCATCCCTTTAATGTTACTTTAGAAGAACAGATAAAAAACGTGTGATGACTTAGCTGTGAACAATCATGTGATTAAATATTTGAATCAATAGACAGCCCTGATTTATATTTGTGTGTGTGTGACATTTCCACCAGAGCTGCACCAAAGTATTTAAAGTTTCATCATGTCGTGGCCTCCAAGTGAAACTGTCTCAGTGTCTCCTCTGGTTTTGCACATATTATCAATAGCTCTTGTTATTTCCTGTCTTTAAACCTAAACAACAAATACATGTGTATAATAAATGTTGATCTGAACCAATGAACACTGTGTGAACACATGATGTGGAGACGACTCTGTGGTTCAGCTCTGGAGTCAGAATCAGAGGACTGAATGTTTAGTATTTGTCCAGCAGAGGGCGACACACACCTGAACTCTTCTTCATGACCTGCTGCTCAACATGACTCCTCCACCCCCGAAACACTGGAACACTCTCACTGTTGTTTCTTCTTCATCATTTTTTTTGGTTTAGCATCTTTATGAGTCTTGTATTCATTGATCCAACTTAAACTGTCTGAATTTAATTCTGCTTTATTTAATGTCTTGTTGTCTCAAAGTTCATCGTTTGACTGGATTTTATTTTGAATTTATTTCATGTATTGAGCAGATTTGCCTCTAAAAGTGCTCCAGAAACAAAGATTGTTATTGTTGTTATTACACTGAATAAAATCAAATATGGAGGCCCTGACACGAGACTGGAAAACACCTTCCAACACCTGCAGCTGCAGAACGACCTGTCGGCAGGTTCTCCTCAGAACCTGAACCATGGAGAACGTTTGTCTCTTTAGTTTGAGGTTCTTCTGATGTTTCAGACATTTATATTGCTCAGTGTGTCGGCTGCTGTCCAACTCCAGCAATGGAACTCAAATACATTCACTTAAGTACTCAACTTAAGTACAAATCTAAAGTACTTGTACTCGAGTAGTATTTCCATGTTCTGCGCCCTGCTCCTCTTCTTCATCTCAGAGCTCATTATTGTATCATTTCCTGCGCTTCATTTGTCTGACAGCAGCTATCAGAGTCAGAGCACTTCTCCCCTGCTGTCGGACAAACAACAACAGAAGAAGAAGAAGAAGAAGAAGCAGCAGTGGAGCTGATGTCACAGACTCAGCAGTCAGAGCGTGATGCGTTCACTGACCTCCACAGCCTTGTAGAAGATGCTGCTGCCAATCTGAACCACCTCCAGGTTCTGCTCCTGCTCGTTCCTCGCACACTTGATGTATGTCATCCAGCTCCTCTGGTCCTCCTGACTGGCGTCGATGAAATACCTCACCGTCCCGTCCTCGTTAAACACCTTAAACAGGGGAGGACACGTGGACACTTAAATCTCATCATATCGTTTTATCATCCAACAGTTCCATAATGAGTCGGCCGCTCAGTTTGTTTACTGTGTGGATCCTTAAGAAACACTGTGCAAAACAAACTAACCAAACACCTCCCCAAGTATGGCACTTAAGGCTTTATTTCCCCTTAGCTAGGGGACATACTTAAAGTTGAAAATCCCTTAAAATATTTCCCTAGTCAAGTACAAACATTAAGGGCATTTACTGCAGTGGGACAGATTTTAGTTTCCATGTGGACTTTTGCACCTCTGATAGCTAAGGTCTTTTGGGCAACAGTTTAACTGACTCTAAGGGATTTCTTAAGTGTAACCCCAAAATAAGGAGAAAACCTTAAATACCTATGTGGACATTTTAAGATAACCTTAAGCATAAGACTGAAGGGTGCTGGTTTTATTTAAAGGAAGCCTTAACTCTGACTTTAAGGAAAATCTTAACTTAAGCTGTTTAGTGCAATGGTTTTACTAACTTTAAGGGTAAGCTTAAAGTTAAGAGAAAACCTTAAATATATTAAGTGAACATGTTAAGGAAAAGACTTATGGACGTTGTGTCTTTTATTTTGAGGAAGCCTTAACTCAGACTTTAAGGAAAATCTTAACTTAAGGTGTTTCATGCAATGTCAAGTTAAGGAATTTCTTAAGGGTAAGTTTAAGGCAAAAAATAAAGTCTTAAATATTTAAGTGAACATTTTGAAAAAAACCTTAAGGAAAATACTTAAGGGTTCTGTGTTTTTTATTTCAAGGAAGCTTTTACTTAGAATTTTAGGAAAATCTTAACTTAAGGTGTTTTTTGTAGAACAGTTTAACTAACTTAAGGGGATTCTTAAGTATAAGACCAAAAAATAAGAAAACCTTAAATACTTCAAAAATAAATCATTTTATGAAAAACTGAGGGAAAAGACTTCAGGGTGTTGTGTTTTTTTATTTTAGGGAAGCCTTTTCTTGGAATTTTAATTTAAAAAAGTCTTTACTACGGCGTTTCATGCAACAGTTCAACTACCTTTAAGGGATTTCTTAAGTATAAACCCAAAAAATGAGAAAACCTTAAATTGATAAGTGAACATTTTAAGATAACCTTAAGGAAAACAATTAAGGGTGTTGTGCTTTTTTATTTTAAGGACACCTTTACTTGGAATTTAAGGAAAATCTTAACTTAAGGTGTTTTGTGCAACAGTTAAACTAACTTTAAGGGATTTCTTACAGGCCTCAACATAAGTGTAAATAGAAATATGAATGTAAATACAAGTATAAACATATTTAGTGTTAAGTGATTTTGAACGCACCTCCCACATGAGGTTGTTGTTCTTGTACAGGTCGATGTGTTCAGGTGAGATCAGGCGTCCTGTGAACGGTCCCATCTCTGTTCCTGCTTTGATCCATGTTTTAGAGAAAATCCCCAAACCTTCTCCTGAAACACACACACACACACACACACACACACACACACACACACACACACACACAGACGTGTTAGTGCAGTGTAAAAACACAAACAGGAAGTGACTCTTCTCTTTCAAACCTCAGGTCCTGTTTCTGAGGACAGGAAACACTGGGCTCATGAATCCATCTGCACATTGTTGCACATGTCAGATTCTGCATATCACTGTGAGCTGAGATTCACCCTCGCTCATCACTGTACGTTTTATTCCAGGGCTGGTCGGCCATCTTTGACCCTCTGTCGGCTCAGTCACTGGTATTTGTTCTTTAATAAACTCCTCTCATACATTTGCACTTTGAACAGAGATCTGACTGAAGCTACTTTAGTCACTGTGAGGCGACTCATGCGTGAGTGACATCAAGCTGTTGTTTATAATGCAGAAAAAAGCAAAAAGAATTATTATAATTAATTATATTTGTGTCACTAACAAGTTTCAGTCAGTTGAAAACTAATTTTAAGAATTTGATCAAAGTCAAAACATTTTGACATTTTTCAGTGGGACGGATTCAAAATAAATAAGTTAGAGTAAGTTAAATAGTTTGACCACTAAACATCAAAACAACTTTCAATAAATATTAAGTTGGTTCAACTTAATTAAGTTTTGTTAGGTCGAAGAACTAATTAACTAACTAAACTAATTGAGTCTGTCAGATTATAACTCACTAATGCTGAGTGTGGTCGACTCAAAGAGACGCAGCAAGTTGTTGAACCAGTCGTTTATTGTTTGGGTGCAGAGTGAGACTGTTTCCTGCTCACTGCGTCACTGAGCATGTGTCAGCTGATCTGACTGTGACTGTTGTGTTTGCAGCAGGATATATAATAACAATAATATAATATAATGCAGTAACTTAATATCTGACTGTCCTTCAGGTGTCTGTCAGAGTTGAAATGTTTCGTCTTCTTTACTATGTTAATCATCATCATCATCATCATCGTTATTAAAAAACATCTGAAAATATCTGGAAATCTAATTTACACACTTCACTGATTCATTTGTAATTTGTTTGTTGTTGTACGTCTCTGACATATTTAATCTTTGTTTTTATCTGTTTTCTTTTTATGTCTGATTGTTATTTAATATCTGAGGTGTCTTCATGCTGCACAGTGTTTTAAGTTTTTATTTCCTTTTACACGTGTGTGTGTAAATAAACTAAACTAGTGTAGTCGCTGACACTGAGGAGAAAACTGCTGCGTAACGTCAGCTGGATCGAGGCCACGCATCACTCTGACAGTATCAGTATATTTAATATTCACCTTCACAGTCGAGACGAGCGACGCACACAGGTCCACAGCACAGAGCTTACAGCCTGAGCTCATTTTAAAATCACCCAAAATAAATATTGATGGGCCTTTAGACAAAAAAGATACAAATAAAAATGTAGTGAAACATATTTCACCTGATAATTATTTGATCATCATGACTGATCGCTTTTTAATTCAACTTTAACTGTTTTAAAATGAGTTTAAATAAGATTCAGAATCAGCAGCTGAGAGTTTCAGGAGAGACGACGTGATGTGAGGAGGTAAAAATCCAAAATGAATAAGATTAAAATGAACAAATTATTGAATAATTTGGTTGATATTTTCATGCTCAGTAATGAAACAGAGCCACAGAGACATGTCGACTCATGAAACCACGGAGACATAGAGAGGGAGAGTTTACCTGGGACTGAGCTCTGAGCGATGATCACCTCGCTGGGTAAAACCAGACTGGACAGTTTCTGCACCTCTGAACACAAAAACAGTAAAATATATTTATTCATTTTCATTTTTTAAATAAAGATATATAAATAAACATTGATGACTGGAAACACAGAACAAAGACAGGGAGGAGAGAAGATCTGAAATGTGACAGTAAGAAATAAAGTCGTGCGTTGAACTGCAGTTACATTTCTGCAGATGTGACAGTGCGTCGTCAGAGGGTCAGTGTGTTGAGCTGCAGCTCTGATCAGAAACATGATGGAGAGGTTTAACTCCTCCTAACTTACAGATGTACTTTTGGGACGCCTGACTGAGGACACTCAGTGTGTGGATCTGTGGTGACGAGGACAGGCGGTGGTTGAAGATGAAGAAATCTGTGTGACAGCATGAACTAACTGAGGACTCTCTTTCCCAAAGAGATTACAGTGTGAATAAATGGACTGAAATCACATTAGAAACTTGGAAAGAAGCACAAAACACTTCTGATTCACGCCGACATATTTGAGCTCTCACTCCCATCAGGTCCACGAGGGACGCCGTCCATCTCTCTCAGACACAGACTTTAGGAAGTGGTCAAGATTTGGGTTGTTGCCCTCTCGGCCAGGCCGCACTTGAAAGAGAGATTTTTAACCTCAGTGAGGCTTTTACCTGGTTAAATAAAGGATATACTCATCGATCACTTTATTAGGTACACTCAAAAAGAGCAAATATCCAGTGAGCCAAAATGCCTTGTCGATGCCAGAGGTCAGAGGAGAATGGCCAGACTGGTTCAAGATGATAGAAAGGCAACAGGAAGTCAAATAAGCACTGGTTCCAACCAAGGTGTGCAGAAGAGCATCTCTGAAGCAACAACACCTTGTCCAACCTTGAAGCAGATGGGCTACAGCAGCAGAAGACCACACCAGGTGCCACTCCTGTCAGCTAACAACAGGAAACTGAGGCTACAATTCACCAAAACTGGACAATAGAAGATTGGAAAAACCACATTCAGATGGAAGCATGGATCCATCCTGCCTTGTATCAACGCTTCAGGCTGCTGCTGCTGGTGGTGTAATGGTGTGGGGGAGATTTTCTTAGTACCAACTGAGCATGGTTTAAACACCACAGCCTACCTGAGTATTGTTGCTGAGCGTGTCCATCCCTTTATGACCACAGTGTACCCATCTTCTGATGGCTACTTCCAGCAGGATAACGCACCATGTCACAAAGCTCACATCATCTCAAACATGACAATGATTTCACTGTACTCCAATGGCCTCCACAGTCACCAGATCTCAGTCCAATAGAGCACCTTTGGGATGTGCTGGAACGGGAGATTCTCATCATGGATCAACTGTGTGATGTCATCATGTCAATATGGACCAACATCTCTGAGGAATGTTTCCAGCACCTTGTTGAATCTGTGACACCAAGAATTAAAACGGAGGTCCAACCTGATACCAGCAAGGTGTACCTAATAAAGTGGCCTGTGAGCATATTTTGACTCCCGCTATATTAAGTCCTACTCCTACTGATGTAATCTGATTACAAAAACCATGTCTGAAAAAGACCACTCATGACCTGCAGACAGTAACATTTGATAAATGACAGAGAGCTGTTTCTGCTTCATGCTGTGTGTTTATTGATCCTGTTGTTTAAATCTGATTTTAGTTTGACTTTTGATTTATGATCATTATTTATCCTCCAGGTGCTTTTTAGGTTTGAACATTTCCTCCTCTGCACCTTGGACATGAAACAATCTTCAAAGAGATGTAACATCAGAAACACTGATATCCACTGATGGATTTAAGGACGTCATAAAGAAAGTGTGTGTTTGAATAGTTGTTGTTTGATTGTGGAGTTTTGGATTACATGTTGTATTTGTTGCATTTTAAATGTGTTCTGATTGGCTGCTGCCTCACCAGGCCTCTGTGGGAGAAGAGAATTTCAATCTCAGCGGGACGTCCTGGTTAAACAAAGGTTAGGTCAAATAAAATAAAATAAATTATTATTGTTATTATTATTATTTGTCTCTATTATTAATGTTACTTTTACTTTTTCCAACCATGGAGTGCAGGGAGATGGTGTGAGCTGGGTGTGGATGGCAGTGACACTGAAGGTTTGCATGTTTTAATACGTGAATTTTGAAAACAAAAAATGAGTTCAAAGCAAAAAAGAAATGACGGGACGTTCGGAGTGTCGTAAAGCTGAAGTTTCCCACAAACAGTGAAAGCAGCATGAAGCCGAGCCCTGAAAAAACGAGGTTAAACGCTCCTTTTCTCCTTCAATGGGCGCATTATGTCCTGACACCTCCTCACTGCTCCTCACTGCTCCTCACTGCCCGCTGAGCACAAATCTTAATTCATGATGTTTCAGGTGACACAAAACTCAACCTGAGACTGAGTGTGAGACAGAGACAGGAGGAAGAGGAGGAAGAGGAGGAAGAGGACAAAGTCTCCGGACACGTCACAGAAAATAAAAACATGCAACAAATGAAATAAAGTTTAAAATCAAAGAGAGAAGAAGAGAAACGTCACGTCGCGTTTCACGCTCGGTCCTGGGCGTGAAACGCGACGTGACATAAAGGAGCAAAGAGATCTGTGTGCACATAAAAGTGGAAGATTATCTCAATTTAAAACCAGAGAAGAAGAAAAGAAAAAACTCATAAATGCCACGAGGGGAGAGTTCAGAGGATTCAGTTCACACGACGGAGATTTAAATTCCTGCAGAGGGAAATTAAGCAGAAATAATCCGGTCAAAATGAACCGGGAGGGTCAGGACACCGGGAGACGGCTCTCACGGCTCCTCTGAAATTGTTCCGAACGAATTCTGATGAAAACGGAAACGAATTTCAAAATAAAATTTAGCAAAAATGAAAAAGAAACAGAAATAAAAAAAAAAGTCAGAAAAAAGGCCGCGGCGAAGCTTTGCTTCATTCTGGTGACAGTTTGAGCTTCAGAGTCAGACAGCACAGAAATGATTTATTAACATCAGTCTGCATATTTTCAGGACTGATTATCGATCAACAGGTGATCAGCTGATTCATTAATTGTAAGACTTTAAATGATTTATTGGAAATTTGCGGCGCGTCAGAAAACTCCAACTGATCCGTTAGATCACGGAGTTCAAACGGTTTGATCGGTTATTGATAGACTAATTAATGAACAATAATTAAATGAACTTTGTGTCGGCAGACTGACGTCATCCAAATTTATTTTACACATTTTTATCGTGAAAAAGAATTTTAAATGATGCAAATACAAATAACGCAGAAACACCTGCAGCACTTTAATGTTTCAGCGGGATTATTTTATTCTTGTAAATTGTTTGTTAGTGAATAAATAATAATAATAATAATAATAATAATAATAATGAATCAGCACGTTTATAAGATAATTAATATTTTCATGGGTGAAAAACAGCAAATGAAACACAAACTAAATCAATAAAATCCGAAGTAAAAGTTGAAACTGGTGTAAAATTGAAAAAGTAAATGAGTAAAAGTAATTTATTATTTTCCACCATCAGTGAAACATTTAATAATAAATTAAGATCAGTTATTGATCAGATTTTCTGTGACCTTATTGATCCGCGGCAGGTGAGCGGAAGTGATGAGGAGATACATTAAGCATTTAAGGCTTTAAATTAAGGGATAATTTAAGGCGTGCAGAGTTTAATTGGTTGATTCAAGTGTCGTCACTGACCTCCGGAGAAGGACTGCGCGAGCACCTCGGCGGTGAACGCGGTCTTGGGGCTCGCGCTCGGGGCGGTGCGGTCCTCGTGCGGCAGGTGATGTTGGTGCGGCAGGTGGTGGTGCTGCTCGCCCAGCACGTGCCTCCAGCGGCCGTACAGGAAGCTGTGCAGGATGTCCGAGGTGATGATGTCCGCCAGAGAGAGCGGCTGCTGCGGCTTGAAGCCCGACTTCAGGCCCAGCGAGGAGCCGGGCAGCACGGAGCCCATGGCGGGGCAGAGGGAGCCGGGGCCGGGCAGGAGATGCAGCGGGAGCCGGTGTCAGGGGACCGGAGCAGAACAAGTCCCTCAGGTGAAGCAAACTTTTTTTTTTTTTTTTTCTTAAATCCTCCAAAATCTTGGAATAAAAACTCCTCTTGATGTTTTTCCTTTTTAAATTTAAGACAAACTCAGATTAAAAACACAAACTGAGTGTTTAATGTCGCTGCAGGTTTTTTTTCTTTAAACGTTAAATGAAGTTAAAACGCTGAAAATTAAAAGAGTGTGTGTGAAGAGAAGTTGTTCAGAGAGCTGATGGTCAGAGCAGAGTGTGTGTGTGGGTCTATATACACCCTGTCTGTCTGTCTGTCTGTCTGTCTGTCTGTAATGGGCTGTAATCACCTCCTCCAACATTTCTATAAAGAGAGGAGGGAGGAGAGAGAGAGTGTGTGTGTGTGTGTGTGTGTGTGTGTGTGTGTGTGTGTCCTCCACGCGCTGTTGGCTCCGTTTACAGCTCTGTTGGCTCGTGACACCGTAGAGACACTTAATTAGGACTTAATGAGAAAACAACAACAAGAGAACAGAGCTCAGCTGAGCTGTTAGAGACCTGCAGGATCCTGGTCCAGGATCAGCTGGACCAGGATCCTGCAGGTCTCTAACAGCTAAACAGATTTAATTTATTTAAAAAGAACATCTAAAATATTTCACACATCCTGTCGTGTCCTCTGAACCAGCAGCAGGAAGCATCAACACATAATGTCGGGATGATCTGAAATAAGAAGGTTTGAATTCAGGACTTTGACTTTCAGTGGAATATTTTTATGTTAAATCTCCAGAGTGTTGATTTAAATCTGATCTAATGGTTGTGTTCTGGTTCCCTCAGAATGACACGTTTATATCTACACAGGGAGCAGGCCCTCGTCTACAGAGGTCACCATGTTGCACCGCCATGTTTCTACAGCAGCCCAGAAGGGACAAACCAAACACTGACTCTAGATAGAAACATTCATGTGTTCATGATGGACATCTTAGTAGCAGCTCCTCTGTGACGCAGCGTCAGATAGATTCTGATTATTTTAATGTGAACCTGTTTTACTGTTTAAACGACACACAAAAAATGTACGTTAAGGATGTAACTGTACGTTAAGGATGTAACTGTACGTTAAGGATGTAACTGTACGTTAAGGACGTAACTGTAAGGATGTAACTGTACGTTAAGGACGTAACTGTACGTTGAGGACGTAACTGTACGTTAAGGACGTAACTACGTTGAGGACGTAACTGTAAGGATGTAACTGTACGTTAAGGATGTAACTGTAAGGATGTAACTGTACGTTAAGGATGTAACTGTACGTTAAGGATGTAACTGTAAGGATGTAACTGTACGTTAAGGATGTAACTGTACGTTAAGGATGTAACTGTAAGGATGTAACTGTACGTTGAGGACGTAACTGTAAGGATGTAACTGTACGTTGAGGACGTAACTGTAAGGATGTAACTGTACGTTAAGGATGTAACTGTACGTTGAGGACGTAACTGTAAGGATGTAACTGTACGTTGAGGACGTAACTGTAAGGATGTAACTGTACGTTAAGGATGTAACTGTACGTTGAGGATGTAACTGTACGTTGAGGACGTAACTGTAAGGATGTAACTGTACGTTAAGGATGTAACTGTACGTTAAGGATGTAACTGTACGTTGAGGATGTAATTGTACGTTAAGGATGTAACTGTACGTTAAGGATGTAACTGTACATTGAGGACGTAACTGTACGTTGAGGATGTAACTGTACGTTGAGGATGTAACTGTACGCTAAGGATGTAACTGTACGTTGAGGACGTAACTGTACGTTGAGGACGTAACTGTACGTTGAGGATGTAAGTTCACTCATTGGGCACTAATTTGAAGGATATCATACGAACAGTTCTGTGAGAATTAGTCATAATGTTAACGTCTACACATTGTGAAACCGTTACGTCATTAGACATTTAAATTATCGTCAACAGGATTCTTATTCCAACTAAAATTCTGTCTGACGTTGAGCGTTTGTCTCTCTGACGTCAGTTTGACGTTGGCTGGGTGGATTTGACTAAATCAGATTTAAAGGGCAAACATATGTAACAAATAAATGAATCTGTATTTAAGTAAATATTATATACGTACGGTATTTGCATTTGTGTAGACATGCTTTTGTGCACACACACACACACACACACACACACACACACACATATTGTTTTATAACTGAGGGTCACAATCAGCTGTGTGAACAAGAATCTGACTCCACATTTTACCTGAACGATGATGTGTCGGATAATTCATCAATGACAGATAGAGAAACTAAACATGTGTGTGTGTGTGTGTGTGTGTGTGTGTGTGTGCATGCATCAGTAGAGTTTACGTTCAATATATGGCCAAAAGTATGTGGACACCTGCTGCTCAGGAGCTCTGATGAAAAGAAATGTTTTATTGTGATGAAGAATTTGAGTGGTGGCAAAACAGCTCTGAGATGATCTGGATTTATTTTGATATTCTTGAATAATATTTTCTGAAAAAGGTTTAAAAATTGAATCTTCAGCTGTGGAATGTGAGCCGAAGAGGAGGAGGAGGAGGAGGAGGAGGAGGAGGAGGTGGTGGTGGTGGTGTGCACTGCAGCAGTGTGAGTGACAGAGCAGGAAAACAGATTAGAGGACAGATTACCAAGACAACAGCTGCTTTCTTCATCCCTCCTCCTCCTCCTCCTCCTCCTCCTCTCGTCTCTCAACAGGATTATTATTCTCTCTTTCACTCTGATCTGTATTTATGAGCTTTTAAACATTTATTGTCGACACTCGTGAGCGAGACACACACACACACACACACACACACACACACACACACACACACACACACACACTCTCTCATTGTCGCCAGTGTGTCGGTTGAAACATCAGAATTAATTTAATTTGGTTTTGATTTATAAACGATGATTTTCAAACTGTTGAGAGGAAATCTTCAGCCTTCAGCTGCAGCCAGGAAACAATAATAATAATAAAAAGTGATCTGAGAGAAATAAAATGTTTCAGCTGCAGTTTAATAACTGAACAGGAGAAATCTGATGAAAAGACTTAAGAGTTTATTTTATAGTTTTTTATTGTCTGAAAATTAAAATAAAATCTGATGATGTTTCTGGACTAGAATATTATATATGTATGTGTGTGTGTGTGTGTGTGTGTGTGTGTGTGTGTGTGTGTGTAATAAACCTTCATCAGACAGAAAGAAGAAAATATTTCAACCTGCAGAAACATATAAAGTGATTTTTCAGCAGTAAATATCTGCAGACACAGCTCAGTGTGACTTATTAAATATCATCACAACATGTTTGAATCTGAAAAAATGTTTTGTGTTTTATTTTCAGAAAAACACTTTTTTTTTTATCTCATCTATTTTTTTTTTTCTCTTTTCTGTCTTGAATATTGTTTTATGTTTAATATGAAATGATTCATTTAGAACAAAGAAAATAAATATCAACATTATTTTTCTGCAGCTTCAGTTTTTCTTTCCTCCTCTGAGCTTCAGGCGGCGGCTCGCTGACTCCTCCAGCCGGCTCTAAGCTCTCCTCCAGCGGCTTCACCCCCGGCTCTCCCCCGCCGCGCTCCCCGGAGCTCCGTGCGTAACGGCTCCGTGCCAAACACGGAGGCTGCGCGCTTTTGTCCCGCGAGACAGAGGCGAAGAAAGGAGAGAAAATCCGGGAATAATGGCAGATTTGCAAATGTTTTTCAATTGATTTGACTCAATGAACGCTGGACTTTCTTTTCTCCGTCTCTTTCTTTCTCCAGCAGCGGAGTTTGGCTGCAGCCGCCGCGCACGCGGGCCGAGCGGGAGTTTATTAATGGAGAGGCGCGTCTTTATTGAAGGAGGACACGCTTTAATGAGCTTTGGACAACAATAAGCTCTCAGTGAGTGTGTGTCCTCCTCCCCCCCGTCCCCCCTGTCCCCCCTGTCCTCTATACCCCCCCCCCACAGCCAATAAGAATCCACTTTAACCCTGAAAACACGACGGGAAGTCAGAAGGAGGAGGGAGCGGCAGGTGACTGGCACGCGTAAAGACAAGAGGAGAGGAGAGGAGAGGAGAGGAGAGGAGAAAAAGTCAGGTGGATGAGCTGATGGAGAGGAGGTGAATGGTAAAGAAAGAAGTGAGGAGAAGGTGATGGAGGAGGAGGTGGAGGCAGAGGAGGAGGTGATAGTGGTGGGAATGGAGATGATAGAGGAGGTGTATGAAGTAGACGAGGAGAAGGAGATGATGGAGGAGGAGATGATGGAGGAGGAGATGATGGAGGAGGTGGTGGGAATGAGCCCAAATGGCGCGCTCATATTGTCCGCGTGACGTGATGAAGTCTCGCGCTGCGGCCTCATTAGTATTCATGTTAATAATCCTCCTTTAAAAAGCTTCACGAGGAAACACAGAAGCTGTCAGCTGCTCCGGAGGACAAATCTAACGCTCCTCCTCCTCCTCTTCTTCTTCTTCTCCTTCTTCTTGTTCATGGGTTCTTTTTTTTATCAGCAGCCGTTTTCTCGCTGCTCTTCATCATCATCATCATCATCATCATTATGTTTTAATTGGCCTGAGAAACTTCAGCTGCAGTTTGTTCTGAGACACGTTGATTTATTCATTTATTTATTTAAATGCGCCACAGATACAGATCAGTAGTTTCTTATTTTTTTTAAAGAATTTTTTTTCAACAAGAAAATTATTTTTTACAAGAACACTTTTTTTTTTTTTTTTTTTTTACAAAAAAGTTTCCTGGTTTCTTTTTTTGTTGTTGTTTTTACAAGTAAAGGTTTGTTAAAAATAGTTTTATATTTTACTAGAAAAGTACTAGAAATTTTTTACAAGGAAAAAAAAATCTTCCTCTCAAGAAACGTCCCATGCTGTAACCTGACACTGATATTTTATGTTATTTTATTTTTACTTATTTTTATCTTTTTTTCTGGTGTGGCATCAAAACGCTTCTGTAATATTTAATATTTATAAATGTGTGAAAACATGTTGTCTGAAATCTGTCGTTAAAACCTGAACTTGTTAACAGCTGAATTAAAAACTAAATTCATATTTAAATCATCTGCATGTTGAAGGTTTATTCATACGAAGAATCTGCTGCACAACAGATCAGTTATTTTGTTTTTAAAAAAATCCAGAGGAATTTAAATGAAGATAAAATGAAAGTGCAGGACGTCATAATTTAACCTTGTT